AGAAAGCCAATTATGAAGGGCTTTGAGCTGAGTGGAATAGGAAGTATAGAGTTAATCAATCTGATCAACTCTATTCATATTATTGTTATAGTCATTAATTATCTGAGGGATCTGTAGAACAGCAAGCTTACAGCTGTATATCAAAAGCAGCCAAGTAGTTGCTACATTAGTGCTAGTTGTATAGAGCTTCATCACTCATGATTCATATATTAGCTAATTTCATAAATTGTAGACAACATGTACACAAAGCCACCATCCTTCCACTGTAGAGCCAAAAATGGGATTGCTAATAGAGCCTACTTAGGCTCTCATAAAAGTGGTTCCATAAAAGACCAGAGAAATAATTATAAATATTGGGAGGAAAGGTATTTTTGTTCTAGTATACTGTTTAACATGCTCCAATTCTAAGCCTCCAGAACATCTAAAAAAGAACAATATTACTAAGGTAATTGTCCATGTATCTGTTAAACTAGTGTGTATGATAGGACAGAATCCTGACCAAGTTGTAAATTGCAATTGAGGTAAAAGTTAGATGTATAGACCCATTATAGGACTGTTAATTACAAATTTGGATTTTAGTAGCATGGGAAGTATAAAGTCAGTTCTATGTATAGTCCTCCCAACAGAGTACAAAAATATAGTAATCCTGACTGATTGGCTTATTTGGCATATAGTAGATATACTTACTTTGACTACTAAATTGTACCATTATTTCATCTACTACTAGATTGGAACCTGACTTCAAAACCTCTTGAAAGTACTCCTTCAGGATTGAATACAAAGGCTCCAACTTCCTCTACTACTCTGAATTCCTTCTTTCTTCTATCTGAACTGGCTTATGTACAAATATTACTTGATTTACTGGAACTACTCTAGTAATAACCTATTCTCTCTTTCTATTTGTACTGCCAGTAGTCACTACTAAAATTCTACCAGCCTCCAGCATCTATACACTGGCACACCTATAAATATTACTTGTACAACAAATTTCTGCATTTCAGTTATGATAACAGGCTTCCATGAATGAAAACTTTGTCCTGAAGGAGGTGCCAGCCTCTACATCCAGGCAACATACTTATTTGTATTACTAACAAGAATACCAAAAACCTCTTCATCCTACGATTCAGAAAATACATCATATAGAGTACTAGGCTGATTGACCAGAGACAATTTGGCCTCATGGGAAGAAAAAGAGTACTGCAAAGGTATAAAGGTATCTGGTATCTCACGTTTTAAGGTATATTCATTCTCAGGAGATGGGGTTTGAATTGGCTGGCCAACAATTTCAACTGTCAGATATGCACTTTCCCTTTTTCTGACACTTTTGCTATTACTCTTTTTCATATCATATATGGCTCCCAGGAAGTAAGGCCACAAGTAACTAGAGTAGAATTATTGGAAAGTGCTCAGAGTGGCTTTTGCTGAGGCATCTTTGAATTCTTTTCTACTTTTCCTAACACTCTCTCATGCTAACATTTTTCTTGATGTTATCATCTCACTTACTAATAATGTTTTAGACCATGTTTAAGATACTGAAAGGGGTGGCATAAAATTTTCCACCGTTTCAGCAGCCCAAGAGATACCATAGCCTTGCCAGGTTACAAATTTTTGATGGGAGAACCAGTATTTGGACGAGCATGGCTATAGTGTAAGGTACGGTAATTTAAAGTACGCTATCGGTATTTGTATCATACCCGTACAGTAAACTATACTCACAATTGTTACTGAGCTCTCTTATGTTAATTTACCAAGAATTACCTACCTTATTTAAAGTTAACCCCTTGGCCAATATCTGTAAACTTTTTTTTTGCCAAGGAAATCTACTATAATTATCATGACCCTAGCATTCCCAAGATAGAGTTCTCTCATTATACTCCTACCAATTTTCCTTGGCCGCCACTAGAGGTGCGGGCACTTGAGCTCTGAACAGTAGTGCTAGCTCTGCTTGTGTGTAGTACCCACCCATTTTGTGTTGCCGTGTAACAGTAGCATATCGGGGAAAAAAGCATAATACTGTACCACAGGCATCCTTAAAGCCATCCCGGATGCAACAGGGCGGTACAGTGGCGGGGCCTTCTGACAGCGACACGGGAGCAAGCTACCCGTGCCATACCATACCATGTACTCCCATCCATTGCTGTAAACAACCCATGCGGATTGACTCAGGCTGCTTAAATTGTCCGTGGGTGCTCGAGCTTACTAGGGGCAAGTAAACAAGGTACATAGAAATCAAATAGAGTAGTCTAATTTGCTAGTTTAGGTTTTGAAGTCCCTGGATACATACGGTTGATAAAGACCCAGATAAGATAGTACAAGTACTGTACTCTGGCAAGTGAATTATTTACATACACCCCGCCACATACCAACTGCATCAGCAAGGACTTTATGAATGGGGGTGTAACCATAGCTCCACAAACTATAATGGTATTTAGAGAAATCTATTTTAGAGCCTGGGGACCCAACGGTTTAAGGGTTGGCTTGAAAAAAAGAAAAAAAGAAACCTCACATTCACCACCTTTGAATAAATACCCTTCTATGACATTTCCGTAACATAGTGCAAATCAATCCCCGAAGGAGGGAGCATCCCCCCATAGCCCCCCCTAAGAAAGTAAAGGAAGGGGGAAAAAGAGGAAATGAAAAGCCGGTTCTCGCTCGAGTTTCTGAAACCTCCAGATATCCTGCAGATACTCTTCAGACTTGCTCCCGAGGGTTTTCGATCTGCCACCCCCGACCACACTACATAGTCGCATCAGGCATAGGCGAGAGAAAATGAAAAAGAAAGAGACAGAGATAAAAGGAGAGAAGCGGTGGTGCAATGTTACGGTACTGTAGAAGCTTGATACACTTTCTGAATATCAACTATTATCTACAGTTCTCATTGGTTCGGCATGCTCATCGCACTACTAGGTCTGTCCGCGGGTATGATAGCTAAGTTAGTCCATCAAGAACGTTGTAGTATTTACACCTTGTCCCATCTTTTCTACCTTCCTATCGGTATCGCACATTCCCTTTTTTTTCCTCTTTCATGAGGGGGGGTGGGGGCAATGGGTGTATCATATAAAAGAAACAGAAAACGTGCTATACCACATTCATTTACTGGCCCCGCTGCCAGGGTACTTGATTTATCTGCGGTGCGGTTTGAAGAGTGATAGTCTAGTCGTACTAGGCGCACACGGTACCATGCAGTCATCAAGGAAGCAGAAGGCCGAAAGTTGGAGTATGATACTGGTACTGAGTGGCGTAATCCAATTTGTATCATACGCGGAATAGAGGCTGTTGCATATGCAGGGCAAACTGGGCCAGGGGATGGAAGAATATCGTGTGTTGCTGCAACGCTACTGGCTTTTGTCCGAGATAGTGGGTTCTACCAAAGTTAGCCTGGCCATCCCGTATATATTAGTGAACTCTCAGGGGTGTTTGGAGCCACAATATCTATCCGTCCATATGCCTACCTACTATAATCGAGGGCAGGCGCAGAACCAGTCAGCCCATAGTATGCGGCCTCTGCGAGCAGACAGCCACCTCAGATTTGCCAAAATGATATGTAAGAGTCACGGGCAGGCGCATTTACTACTACCCAGGCGCACATCCCCGCCGTACCGAGAGCGCCTGGCCATTCAAAGAGTCTACCTCTCCATGCACTTTGCTGGTGGCTGAGCTGGAAAGTATATCATACACGTTGCAGACGAGGGTTACCATAACTCGGATTATTATGCAGTATTTGGAAGATTGAGAACGTTGGGGCTGTGCCACTTCCCTTCTCGTCCAAAGGCGCACAAAAATAATAACACCAGTGGCTTGTCGGCTAGTTAGATCGCTAGACTTACTGGAGGATGCAGGGGACTTCCGTTCATGTTACCGGGCTGATACAGCACCTACGTGCTGTGAATGTGAAGGTATGTGCATATTATGTACACACGTCGTTCAAATCTATAGGTTTCGGAAATAAGGAGTTGGGATTGTGGATTTCGGGCACTGCCATCGCACAACCCCCCTCCGTTCTATGTACCGCACGGATATGATAAGCCGCAGAGGATTCAGCCTAGCGCGGCTTGGGGGGGCTTAAGTTCTGGGCTGGACTAGTTGGGCTCGAGTCATGAGACATCACTCGTGAAGCCTTTAGCTTCAAGGTTTCATTCACTCTACTGGCCAATAGCTACAGGGGCGGGGGTTACGTGCCTACGTGTATTTACAATAAGGGGAAATTTATTGGGGGGGGGCCTATGGAAGGAGAGGTGACCAGGCGGTTCCAGCCGACTAGTCAGGAAAGGAAAAGGAGACCAGAGGATATTAGATGAAGTGGCGAGTAAAACTTTTGGCAAGGGAAATTTTCAGGGAGACTTGTTGGGCCTGAAACAGGTGAGATAAGTGGAGTTTGGGAAAAAAAGAAGCGAATGGGAAAGCAAGACTCAGAACAAAGTAAAGGAATTAAAAGAGATTTGGTAATGATGGGTATGGTAGAAAACGGGCTGACAAACGGACTTGGTAAATGGAAAATTAATGCGAAATGTTAGAAGAAAAAGGGGGAAATATATAGTAAAGGAAAAGGAGACCAGGGAGAGCATAGGAGAGAAGGCGAATAAGTCGGGAACGCTAGTAAATTAGGAACGAAATAAACCGGGAATAGAAAAAGGCGGTTAACACATGGTAACGCTCTGTGGCGTCGTGATATCATAGAGTGCAATATCAGTCACCCAACCTCTATCGATCCAAAAGAAGTTAAGGAAAACGTCCGCGAATGCCGCCACTATCTGAGTACCTTCGAAGGTCCCATCCGCAACCAACTCCACTTCAATTTCACCCGGCGGTAGCCTAACTTCCTGGTCCGAGCATTTCATCTGAGTGAAGCTAAACCGCCCAGATTCGCATATCAGCCTAGAATCCAGCAAGTCTTGCATCTTCGTACGTGTGATATAATCGTCTAAACGGCCAAAAAGCTCCGGTGACGCAAGTATAGCCCAAACAAGATCCATTCCATTAGGATTGCGCTTGATAAGTCTACGGAGTGACACGGATGCTTTAGAGATTAATCCCAGGTCCGCCATCGTAAACATTGCGCGGGAGGTACTTTTGATCCGCTGAAGGTGGTTGACGAGATTTATCGCCTTGTGAAGCCGTTCTTCGGGAGTGTCTTTGCTCGTCCATCTGGACAGGCTTTCCGTAGCCCAGTCACCAAGGGGGCCAACAGGGAATATGCAGTCCTGGCCCAAACGTCTTTCCGATATCGAGGAGGCGTGGCTCCAGATCTGAGTTACCTGGAAGTTGAGGAGCTTTGACGGCGAAAAGTGGAAACCATCGGGTTCTATCTGAAGAACGGCTTTCTTCATAAGGGCCAGTAGGTGGGTATCCATACGGAGGCAGCCAATTTTATGCTTATAAATTTCAGCGACTCCTTCCCCGTCAGTGTAGGTGTATGAGTACTCGTGGGTACGATATTTTCCCAGACCCCTGCTATAGACAAGTTCTCCTTCTATCGCTGAGGAACGGTGACCACGAGAGGGGCGTAGTATGACCACCTTGTTAGAGTTGTCCTCCATAGCTTTCACGTCCGAACTGGGATTTCTGAGGTGATCGGATATACCGAATGTGGGCTGAGGAGATACTTGGGGCATCCCATCCTCGAAATTTTCGTCGGGAAGGCCTCGAGGACCGTCGACCCCTCTGCCGAGTGTCCCCCGCCCCACCCCTCCGCCCGCCAATTCTCCCCCGCATTCTAGGCCCTCGTCACATATCGCATCAACAGACTGCTCTTTATTTCTTCCGCGGTCCCTCATCTTCTCGGCGCACTCCGAAGTGTCGGAGAGAGAGATAACTTCGTTGTCGGAAAGATTCATCCCGTCTATCGATTGCCAGAGCCTTGACTTGAACTTGAAGGGTCGGATTTCCACATCCAGAGCCCGGTAATAGTCGTGGGATTCTGTGGGGAGTTGGTCCTTAGTCATTGATCTCCTACGGTATTCGACAATACATCCGCCAGGGCCGGGCCTAAACTGCAACCAACCCAAAGGCCCAGACCACTGGGTCGGGAGCTCCATAAGCTTCTTAGAGTTTGGCTTGCTTTTAGTCGACTGAAAGCCAAGAATTGAACAGATAGCGGCCAAGTCACGCCCTTTCCACCGCACTGGAACAATCCCGTTCACCGACTCGGATTCGTATCGCATCTTGTAAAAGCCTTTACCATTTTCCGGACTCATTCCGAGACCCTCTAAGAAGCTGACCCAACTCGCCTGTACGAGCACCATCCCGCCCCCTTCCGGGTCTGAGTTCGGGCCCTTCGACTCACTGTCGAAAGCGACGGGAGATGAGAACTTTGGCTGCCAATTGTTCGCAACTAGCAGGGGGACGCTGAGAGTTGGCGTCATAATTCGCGTTTGCATCCGTAGGGCAGAGGGTAAAACCACGATTGACTTCCATGGGCCAAGACACTGCTTCGAAAGACCCAAGCGATGGCGGGTGAGTATCTGATCCGACGCGAACCACACGGTGATGAGGGTGATCAGGGTCAGAACCACCGCTATGAGCGAGCAAATGGCCGATATCCAGTCGGCCGTTGTGCCTGTGGCACCTGAAACTAGTGAAGCTGCCTCAGCAGCATTGTGTTCCGAGATCGCCATCCGGATTACCTATAACTGGTTAGCCCCGCTTGAATTTAACTGTCAATAGGATTACTCACAATACGATATCTGGAGGATCCTTCAAACCAGTAATCAATGGGAAAGGTCTTGCTGCCCGAGCAAATTTTGAAGTTGAATGTATCGTAGGAATGTTGAATGGATGCGAATACACCAGCCGGTGGCGGAATACGGCCTTAGAAAATATGGGAAACCAAGCTCGACATACTGGTAGAACACAGCAAAAAACGAGGTTATATAAGTTCGCGATACTTCAGTACATAAAACACGAGCAATAACATTATACACCTGGCTCCGTCTAAGTGGTCCACCAAAAAAGTGTTCTCTGAATTGTGCGCAGGCTGCAAAAAGGCACCTCACCCAAATTGCCCGTACCTTCCGCACATATGCTGCTAATGCAACGCCAAGCCAACGCCAAGGTTGCTTGCAAAATCATCATTGGCGAACCAGAAACCTCCCCGCCCCATTGGGGCGCCCATGCGATCCAATCACCTACGGTAGTGTATTCTAAATAATAATTCCCTGAAGGCAAGAACCGCGTGTGTTACACCACCACCAGAGACCTCCGCCCTCCTTACCATGATATTAACAGCCCAGCAGTACCCCGAGCACTGCCCGATATCAACCGTCTTATAACTTTTGTTCAATTTTTCCTGTAAAGCACCCCGAAAATATGCACTTGTCTTGAACAGGATAAAATATTTACAAGCTCTTGCATTCGGCCTGGTGAGTTTTTAGTGGTGTGGTGATTCAGACTTCAATCAATCATCAGGTCGCCGAAGAACTCCAAAGCAGCTCAGCCTAACCAAGACTAAGAGATTGGGCCAGCTCATGAGAGAGCGTAAGCACCTAGGCCACGAAAGCAGCCCCATCGGCGGCTAGACCAACGTTTGGCATACGTAGGGGTGGGAGGGAATGGAGGGGAGGGAAACGATGCCTGCAGGATTATATGCACCAGATTGTTTTCAATTTCGTGAAACGGACAGTGTGAATGAAACCAACAAACCAGAACCTTCATATAGCCCCTGACCTTCTGCCTAGAGTAAGATATGAGTTGTTAGGAGCTGCATATTTTCAATAGCAAACTGTACTGTACATTCACAGCTGGCCACACCGGTCATGAGAGCCGTCATCCCCTCCTCAGGATCCCTAGCTACTAACTTGATGAATCGTTGCACAAAAGAAAATATACACAATACCCGATTCCCACTTGCAGAGCCAGGTCAGCAGCGGTGAGCTAGACACTTCCTAGAGAGGTGAGGTGTCCTTGTAGCAATCAAAGAAACGGATCGAGGCTCGTGGGGGAACATCTTGTAGCAACCGGTAATAGCAGAAGAGCTAAGATGGACACGATTCCGCCATGGGCTATACAGAGTAGGGAGGTTTCAAAGATGCCAGCTGTTTGACAGAAACCTTGTATTTATTAATCCGGTGGACGTGTCTTCCGCCGCTGCGATCGTTATCATTGTTTAAACAGCAGTGGTTTGCGTGTCCGCGGCCAGGTTCCTAGATATCCAACCCTCTGGCCAGCAATGGCAGTGGCATTTGCGATGTAGTTTTGCTTGCAGATAATACAACACTTTCACTCCACCTCCTTCCGTGGGCAGGGCATCCATACCCTTGAGCAGTTAAGCGGCTCGTTGCACAAGGGGATTGCAAACCTCAGTGAATTAAGAAATTCTAACTTCACTTAGGCTTCCCACAAATTCTGAGAGAGCACCCGTCTGGAAGTATCCGTACAGGTTGGTATAACACGCGAGCGCAGACCTAGGGAACCCCAAGCCCGAGTGCATCGTGAATTACCCGAATGGGTGAGGCGAGGACGAAAGTAAAGCTCAATGATATTCTCAACACCTATCTCTGGACTAAACCTCACACACCAAGCTCTCAGGATCCATGCACGGTATGGGATAACCCGCAGCACCAACCTCATCGCTGTGTTGGCAATTGCACGCCCCGGTCGTAGCAAATTGCGAAGATATTACTCCTACAACACACCGATGTGTTTTTATCCCAAAAATTTCGGGATTTTTTGCGCAAGTCATAGAGCATAATATATCACACTATGTAGAGGAACCAGTTTAAAAGAAAATATGGTTCGCCCGTTTGGCCTGTCAGACGATATGAAACTAGAGCCTTGCTATCCCAATGCCATCCAGTTGCCCACAATGCCAGCGAGGTGCGAAGTGCTTTGAACTGGGGGAACAGTGACCCGGAAGGGCGGACAAGACCCCCGCACATGTGTGGGGTATAAGCACCGGTGGCAAACATTCACTCAATGCAGGGGTAATCGGCCAAGGCCCTATTTCTCATCGAGAGAGAGGCCCGATTTTCTAAAGTGATGCCCCATTAATGTCAGAGTCGCGAGAGCGCCAACCACACCTCAAGCCTTGTATCAAATGTAACGCGACTATCCTCGGGCCTGACAGGCTGACAGATAGGGGAAGTGACACGCGCTCCCTTAGAACCTGTCATTTACCTTTCCCCCAAATTGGTTGATGCCCGGAGACTCGACCGTGTATCATATGCGGGTCTCCAGTACCCCAGGAAATAACCAGAGATGTCGGGAAAGCCAGCTTGGTGGCCCCCAAGCGCTCCTCACCCACCCTCAGATGTGTCAACACAGACACGGGATCAGTCTAGCCAAAGTTGACAGCTTAGAGGTGCGAAGGGCTATCGATCCAGCCCGGGATCCGGAAGAGCGGTGTTGTAGGTAAAAGCCACCAGGCCAGCCGCAATGCCCCTAAACGGATTTCCCAGCACCTAGAGGGTTAATCAACGCGTAATTTCGATCACCCATCTCTCATATGTTGATCTAAAACATCATCTTGTCGAAAATGTTTTGAAACAGATGTACTCGAGTATTGAAGGCAACCGGTACTTCCGGAGATGCCAAAATGATCCTCAGCCTGCGAGGGGCGTGGGTGTATAAAACGTGAGCTCTCACAGCCGCACGGGTTGATCTATGATGTAGCAGAGAGATCGATAAATAACTCACGCCAGATGCAGGGCCCTCGGAAAGTGCATGCGGCAAAAGGCACCTATGGGAACCAGTACTCGTGTCCGTTTTTGGATGACGCACATGCTCGAGGAGGGAAAAACTTTTATCCCCCACACGAATACCGGAAACAGGGTACTACGCCCTCTTAGCGGATACGCAAAGTGCAACTCAGCCCCAAATACCGATGAGAAGCCCTCGGCGTCTCATCTCGGTTATCAATCCCGTCATTTACCGTCCCGATCTCAGCCTCATGCGAAGTTTCCCCAACATACCGGTATTCGAAAGAGTTTTGTTTTTTTCCTGCCCGTGCACTGCCACGGCCTGAGATGTATGACTTGAGGTAAATATCGCTGTCAACGCCCAATGCGAAGGGTGCGGGAACTCGAGTAATGTCCGAGCAGTGCTCGAGCAGCGCCCACGACACCAGAAAAGTGCGGGGTCGTTTACTTTGCCGAGGGACGACGTTCAAATTAACCGTGCCAAGGTTCCCGCCACTCCGAAGGACGGGAACCCCGGCACGGTTACTGTTACTCGAGCACCGTATTGGTACAGTAAGGCTCTTCCGCAGTGGGGCGTGGGCTTTAGATCAAGCCCGACTTCAGCCGAGCCCAAACAAGAAATTAGACCCCACAAACATTTAATACGGCCAAAGCGTTGTTTCTGCGCAGAAGCCGCTCCTGCTTGGCCCTCGGGGGTCGGGTGTACCGTAAAGGGTACTCGAGTAGCGATGGGACAGACAGGGTTTTGGGTCCGAGCGCTCAACTCCATCATGAGTAAAAAGTGACTCAATAAGGAAAGAATGATGTCAGGAAGGGTAAAAAGGGTTGATATCTTGAACCCTATCTACTCGTACCCCCTCACTAACCTCCATACGGGTACTGGGCAATTCACCAAGCAAGTACTACTCGAATACGGTAGTACAAGTACAGTACGAGTACTAGTACTTGTATCCAGAAATCCCGGCGCCTTTTTGGCCGTAACCCCCACCAAGATTTCCGAATACTTATGGAATTGCCAAGTACCGGAGCAGACTCGAGTACTGTACTCGTACAGTCTTCACTGGGAGCCCCACGGAAACTGGCCAGTGACGAGCAAGTACGAATACCGCAAAGCAAGTACTTGTACCCAAGTACCTGGGTAAATTGTAAATGGCGCTAGAGCTGTGAAATAAAGTGTAGCCCAATAGGGGACTGCGGGTAAACCCCTCCAGGACACCTTCCCCCCGGAGAAGAAAATACGAGTACTTTGATCGTCACAATCTAACGCTTTGGGGCAAATTTCTTGCAAAAAAACCTAGCTCCTCTCTTGGGCCCACACTTTATTTTACAGCTCTAGTGCTATTCCCAGGTAATGCGGTATTTGCCACCAAGGGAGGGTACAAGTAACAAAAAAAAATAACGTAGGTGACGGCGTTCCGAAATCTACGGTGTTGCGAAACATGGCAACCACAGCCACCCTAAATATTCATATACCGGAACAACAACTTCTCTGTTCGTGGCCAGCCAGGACAGCTTTTCCTCTTCACATCTAGTCTTGTCATCAGAGACTTTGCAATTTGACATCCAGAGTCTTGTAATAAAGTCCCTATTATGACAGGATTTCTTCCATTTCAAACAAGTTAAGTACCGCAACCAATAAAAATAAAACTTATACAGAAACAAAAAACAATGAAAAAGAAAGGAGACACAGAAAAGAAAAAGATGAAGAAAGCAAAGTCACACTCCATTGCCCTGGATCTCAGGAATCCAGATCCCTTGCTATCCTATATCAATCTCTGTGAACTCTGAATTTCTTTCCACCAAAACCTCATCCACTTTCCTGGATTTCTCACTGTACCAGATAAATTCTTTAGAATTTGACTATCCAGGATAGTGAGGAGCAACGGTAAGTTTCTCCTAACCTGGAAAAAGGAATATCCTGATAGAGAAGGTGAAAT